TCGCCATGTTGACCAGGCTGGTCTTGAACTCCTGGGCTCAAGGGATCCTCCTGCCTTAGACTCCCAAAGTGCTAGAATTAAAGGAATAAGCCACTGTGCCCAGCCCATCCTCCCCTTTTCTTGAAGTATTATTACAATAACCATTAGAGCATTTCTTTGGAATTTGAGCTTCCTGGAATCTTAGAAACTCATCTGTTTGATTTCAACCTGGAGTGGGATGGGGTTGTGTTGTGACCTGCTGCCTGAATAAACTTTCTGCTTGTTTCTATACGGGCTAAAGAGTTTAGTTGTAGATTTAAAGTTGTTGTTATCAATAGTACAGATAATTGCAGAAGAGTAAATCGAGTATGTGTATGAAAGTATGTGTGTGTATATTGGGACCTACTGCCTGAATGAACTTTCTGCTTGTTTCTATATTGGCTAAAGAGTTTAGTTGTAGATTTAAGGTTATTATCAATAGTGCAGATAATTGCAGAAGAGTACATTGAGTATGTGTATGAAAGAGTGTGTGTGTGTGTGTGTGTGTGTGTGTGTGTGTGTGTGTGTGTGTTTGGACCTGCTGCGTGAATGAACTTTCTGCTTGCTGCTATACTGGCTAAAAGTTTAGTTGTAGATTTAAGGTTGTCATTATCAATAGTGCAGATCATTGCAGAAGACTAAACTGAGTATGAGTGTGTGTCTGTGTGACCCATATCCAGTGAAAATAAAGAATGGGAGTCAGTTATATACTTTTATGCAGTTACTATTTTTACTGAAAATACTTTTATGGGAACAGATGAATTAGGAATTGGTTATTTATTTCTGAAGAACTTCATCTTCTCTAGAAGATTTCTGGGAGTAATTTGTTAATTTAAGTACCCTTCGGTTTTTGCTACAGATTATTAACCTATCAGTGGAGCAGTTGGGAGACAGAGATTTAAAGCTGGAATTATATACTTATTTGTGGGAGTTAAAAGTAATAATAGTTGAAATCATAGAGATAGAAAGTACAAGAATGGTTACCAGAGGCTGGGAAGTGTTGTTGCAGGGTGGAGGGGAAGTGGGGATGGCTGATGGGTACAAAAAATAGAAAGAATAACTAAGATCTTACTAGCATAGCAGGGTGACTATAGAATTTATTGTACATTTGAAAATAACTGGAAGAATATAATGGGTTAGGCACAGTGGTTCTCATCTGTAATCTCAGTACTTTGGGAGGCCAAGGTGGGCAGATCACCTGAGGTCGGGAGTTCGAGACCAGCCTGGCCAAAATGGCAAAACCCCATCTCTACTAAAAATACAAAAATTAGCCAGATGTGGTGGAGCATCCCTGTATTTCTAGCTACTGGGGAGTCTGAGGCATGAAAATCGCCTGAACCTGGGATGTAGAGGTTGCATTGAGCTGAGATTGCACCACTGCACTCCAGTTTAGGCAACGGAGTGAGATTCCATCTCAAAAAAAAAAAAAAAGAGTGTAATTGGATTGTTTGTAATACAAAGAACAAATGCTTGAGTTGATGGATGCCCCATTTACCCTGGTGCAATTATTGTGCATTGCATACCTGTTTCAAAGTATCTCATGTACTCCATAAGTATATACACCTACTGTGTAACCCACAAAAGTAAAAATTTTTAAAAGGAAAGCTAGAATTATAAAGACATTCATAATTTAAAGTGAATCAGAAATTAAGTAAAGCTTTCTAGAGTTCATCAGCAGGCTACATTTGTCTTCTTTTCATTAAATCCTTTTCAAGTATTATGCTTTACTACTCAAAGATGGTGAAACCTTGCCCAGGTTTTCCTGTAAATAATTAGAAGCCCAAAATAAGGAATTCTGTTCACCTCTTTGATACTCCAATGCTTGCCTCATGAAGCTCCATACATGGACATATCTTGGAGTTCCACAAATATTAAGGTTTAATTTAAACAAAGAGGGAACAGTCACCTCAGGCAGTAGCTGTGGCTAGAAAAAAGCAAAAGGATACATCTGGCAAATTTTTAGGCAAAGTTTGTGAAGATAAATCTGAGGGGAATTGAACTGTGACTGTTTAAATGATGTATTTATTAGTGACTTTCAGGCTTATTGATCAAAATTTTAAAATGAAACAAACATGAAAATAACTGAAAGCCATAAAATGACTTCTTGATGCCATTATCCTTTCAACTGAGTAACAGTAATATTTAATGCACATTTAAGATATTATTGATTTTTTTCTAAAAACTCGTTACTTTAAATGAGTACACCAAGATAACATTACTTTCTTAGATACTTCTTTTTTTACTTCGTAGATGCAAATTATTTTTTTCTTACAGGATATTTCTCCCTTTTTTTTTTTTTTTTTTTTTTGAGACGGAGTTTCGCTCTTGTTACCCAGGCTGGAGTGCAATGGCGCGACCTCACCGCAACCTCCACCTCCTGGGTTCAGGCAATTCTCCTGCCTCAGCCTCCTGAGTAGCTGGGATTACAGGCACGCACCACCATGCCCAGCTAATTTTTTGTAATTTTAGCAGAGACGGGGTTTCACCATGTTGACCAGGATGGTCTCGATCTCTTGACCTCGTGATCCACCCGCCTCGGCCTCCCAAAGTGCTGGGATTACAGGCTTGAGCCACCGCGCCCGGCCTATGGGATATTTCTCTAAAGTAATAACATAAATCTCAGAAAATGTACTACTTATTAATCTAATTCAGAATTCTGAAAATGTTTATAATTTGAGTTGTAGTCTATCAAGGACCAAAACAACTGAAAGTTTCCAAATAGTAGCTGTGGTATATTGTGAATAGTGTGGGAGAGAAGGATTTGCTCCTCTTATTCAAGATGCAACAATAAAAGTATATTATTTTAGGCTAAAGGTTTAGCAACCTTCTGAAAAACTAAATAAAAACTGATGTCATATGATCCAATTAATGTATATATATTTATGGTTTGTATATGCATACACATTTTACACACACACACACTTAAATAGGGTGGTTATATATCAAAATGCTACCAGTGGTTTTCTTCCAGTAAACCATGAGTTTTAAAATTCTTCCTCTTTGTTCATATATTCAAAAAATACTAGTTTGTATGTATTTGCATATTTAAAATAAAAAAGATCAATAATAAAGAACCCTTAAAAAACCCAAATGGTGACCTCATTATGTCTAGTAGTGGGCCAGAAAATGTGCTGCTGTAGTAAGTAGGTAGTTAACACCTACCTCCCACATAGGCTTGGCAGACATCTTACCCTGATACTTAGCTGCAGGGCTCCAGGAGCCTTATATACAATGGTGTTTGTACATTGAAAATCACATAAGGAACTTAAATACCCATGCCTGGGTGCTTCCCCTAGAGACTCCAGTTTTTGTTCTGAGATGTAGCTTAGTAGGACTCTGAAGTTCCCCAGGTTATTATGATATATAGCCAAGGTTAAGAACTACTCTATACAAAGACTATGTTGCATACTGTGTGTATTATTTTTACCTGTGTTTTTTTTTTTTTTTTTTGGTTGTTGTTTGTTTTGAGATGAGATCTTACTACGTTGCCCAAACTGATTTCAAACTCCTAGGTTCAAATGATCCTCCTGCCTCAGTCTCTCAAGCAGTTGAGATTATAGGCACGTGCCACCACACCCTTCACCTGTTTTTTAAAGCTATGTTTTAGTGTCCAGCTCGCCACTGAATTAATAGAGTAACACGAAGGACCGCTGTATTTTCTGCCTCTAAGTTTTCCTCCCTCTATTCTGTCTTCTACACTGTCACAATAATTTTCTAAAGCATGAAATAATTATATCATTGCTCTGCATAAAAGCCTTTAATTATCTGTTCATTTCAGGTTAAAGTGTAAGTTCCTTTTCTGGTCCCAACCTATTTTTTGTTTTATCTCTTTTTAGTCTAATGCTAGAGACTCTGAACTCTATTCATACTTAACTGTTCCTTGCGTAGGCCTTTTTTTCATACCTGCCTTGGCATATGCTGTTTTCTTTGTCACTAATTTTCATCATAGTTCAAGAATAGATGTAGAAACAACATTTTATTGGAATAGAATGAAACTAGCATTTATTAAACTCGTTAACTAAGGACTGTACTAGGTATTTTAACTCTTATAATCATCATAGCCATACCTAAGAAATGATCACTTTCCATACTGTACAGATGGGAATCTGAGGCTTTTAGGGGATGAATAAATTGCTTAAAATTACACAACCAGTTGTAGGCAAATATGGTATTTTGAACTCTATGTCCAGCGTTTGTTTCTATGACCTTCCTCCACCCACTTCACATTGCTTCAGTAGTAATTAAATTAGTAATCCCATTGCCCATGTGATCATTATCATAACCTCTTTCGAAATGTAATATGCATAAACATTTGATGTTTTCAGACTTGTTTTGAATTCCGTATAGCAGAAAGAAATAAATGTAGTAGTCTTAAATGGTAGAATAATCACTGTGTTGTTCTATATATAATCAGTTTTAGTACTTTTCTGCGATTATCTGAGTGTCATTGAACTGTATATTCCTGTATGTTTACATTTTATGTCTTTTCTGTGATGTCCTCATAAAGAACTGAGCAGTTTCACTTTTCCCTTAATGCATTTTAACACCTCTCCTGCAGTTCTTCTTTGGGCAAAATTTCCTACATTTTTCACTATCCCACAAATTGGCTGAGTAAGATTTATACATAATTTATACAGAAATTTAGGTGTTTTCAACTATAAAATTCAGTCAAGCTCATTTCTGCCCATGTGAAGAGGAAAATTGAAAAATTCATATATGTAGTTAAATTTTGTAGTGCAAAGGACAGCCTGTGAAACCTTAACAGTCTCTGTCTGGGAAAGTGTTATAGTTTAACAAGAAGTTAACTTGGACAGTGTTAACAATTTGAGATTTTTTTTACTCTTAAGATAATTTGGTAAAATATAGTATAATTGGTTCCCTTATAAATGATTCCCAGATTTTTTTAGTGTTCCTAATTGTGTTACTGTTTCTTTTGTGATTATTGTTTTACAATCTAATTTGAATAATTTTTCCTTCAATAGAATGTGAAAGATGTTGCAGAAGTGTTCCAGAAGTGGCTGAAGATAGAAGGAAAAAAGTGTCACTGCCTATCAGAAAAAAACAAAACAAAACATGGGAAATACAACCACCAAATTTCGTAAAGCACTCATCAATGGTGATGAAAACCTGGCCTGCCAAATATATGAAAACAATCCTCAGCTAAAAGAATCCCTTGATCCAAATACATCTTATGGGGAACCCTACCAGCACAATACTCCATTACATTATGCTGCTAGACATGGAATGAATAAAATATTAGGGTAAGTATTACTGTAAACTAATTGATATTAGCAGTCAACTGCCTCATTATTACTGTAAACTAGTTGATATTCACATTACTATGAACTAATTGGTAACAAAGTGGTGAAAGAAAAAACAGCTATGATTTTTGAAAACACAAACATACAAGAAAGATTTATATTCAGACATGTTCGTGTAATATGGTCTTGTAGTGAATTAAACTTTCTAAAACCAAATATGCCCAAATATTTGGTATAATTTTATTATGATATAGTAAAATTTTCTTTATTATTTCTGAATTAGTCCAAAGGTTTTAATAGTGAGGTTGATTCACGTGTTCTTGTTGATATAAATATATTTTGATTCTCAATATGTTTCATAGTATGAATTCTTGATAATAATGTATTTAATTTACATTTCAATTCTATAATGGTACCTGGTAGCTGTCAAAAAAATGCAGGGAATGGTGCCAAAAGGAAAGTTCTAAATTCTGATTAGGTATTTTTAGTTAAAAAATGGATGTGTTTGCCTTTTCTAGTCATGATCAGTTAGAGTTTCCTTTCTTTTAAAGGGATTCAGTTACTTGAAAAGATGTTTCTAAAATCCAATCCAAAAGATGTTTCTAAAATACTTGAAAAGATGTTCTTAAAACTGAAAATACAAGCTGGGCGTGGTGGCTCACACCTGTAATCCCAGCACTTTGGGAGGCTGAGGCGGGCGAATCACCTGAGGTCAGAAGTTCGAGACCAGCCTGACCAATATGGTGAAACCCTGTCTTTAGAAAAAAAGAAAAAAAAAAACTGAAAATACGAAGAAACTTTAAAAAATATTTATTCAACGAGAAAGCTTTAGTGACATAGCAAATATATTTATATGAAGTTTCTTACCTAATCACATGAGAATTACATTTGATATTTGCTAGCTTATAAAATAAAAGGAACAAATAATAGAGCAGTAGTTACAAAGCAAGTTTAATTTTTGTAGAAGTAGATTATGCAAGTATAGAAGTCTGATGCCAGAAGAGAAAGGGATAATTGGTTATTTAGTATTCAGAGCTCTTTAGAACTTGAATTTAAAAACTTAACATTTGGCCTTTTTTCTGTTTCTTCTGTGTACAAATTATTGTTCCAATTAAGCTGCTTTTTTTGCTATCTCTAAAACATGCCATGAGTGTTCTGTCTGCCATATCCATGTTGCTCTCTTGGCTAGGATTATTCCCCTCTTTCTTACTCCGTTCGTTTTTCCCTTTCTTAACTTTTTTTTTTTTTTTAATAGAAACAGGACTTTTTTTTTTTTTTTTTTTTTTTTTAATAGAAACAGGGTCTTGCTCCATCACTCAGGTTGGAGTGCAGTGGTGTGATTATAACTTGCTATAACCTCAAACTTCTAGCTATCCTCCTACCTCAGCTTCCCGAGTAGCTAGGACTACAGATATGGGTCACCATAGCCAGCTAATATTTTGTATATTTTTTTGTAGAGCTGGGGTCTTGCTGTGTTGCCCAGTCTGGCTTGTACTCTTAGCCTCAGGCAGTCCTCTCACTTGACCTCCCAAAGTGTATTTTTTTCTTTTTTTCTTTATTATTATTATTATTTTTGAGACAGAGTCTTGCTCTGTAACCAGGATGGAGTGCAGTGGCACAATCTTGGCACACTGCAACCTCTGCCTCCCAGGTTCAAGTGATTCTTATGCCTCAGCCTCCCAAGTAGCCGGGACTGTAGGCGTTTGCCACTATGCCCAGCTAATTTTTTTATTTTTAGTAGAAACAGGATTTCACCCTGTTGGCCAGGATGCGCTCGATCTCTTCACCTCACGATCTGCTCGCCTCAGCCTCCTTGAGTGCTGGCATTAAAGGCATGAGCCACCACAAGTGTCTTTTTTTATCTAAATTTTGCTCTCTAAGATCCTGTGTGTGCCACATCTATCTTCTTAGGTTGTCATAATGCATAGGAACCTCTCTCTCTTCTAAAAAAACTTTTATGGCTCTTTATCATTTGTTTGCCTCACATATTTGCTGTACATTACCCATTATATTTTACAACTTTGTATAGCATCTCTCTGCCTACCTATATTAATAACTTTTTTAAAGGCATCTTCTTTGTACTTCTAGCATCTAGCATAGTATTTTACACACAGTAAATAGAAGTTCTATAAAATAATTACACAAGGAAATATTATCAGGATTTATGAATGAGAAAAATTCCATTAATAATTTAGAGCATTGAAGTCCATGACTTTATTAGGTTTATCTTGGGTTTTATAGCTATTTCTTTTATCTCATCTTTTTGCTTTTATCTTTCATTTTCATTTCTCTAAAAATACCTACTTAGAAGCTTCCACCAGCTTAGCTTGTTTTAAATTTTATATTTTCCCTTCCAAAACTGGATCTTTCTTATGTTAATGATACCAGCCTATTATACTGATATAATAATGGCAAATGTTTATTGAAGGCTTACTGTTTAATAGAGCTATTAACAGTGCTGTACATGCATTATCTGAATCCTCATTACAATTTTATGAGTTAGTTTATTGTCTATATTTTATAGGTGAGAAAACTGAAGCACGGTAAGGTCTCACAACTTGTAACTGGCAAAGCTTGTTACCCAGGTAGATAACCTTAAGCTTTAGGCTTTTAACCGCTGTGCTGACAGCCTCTTATCTATATAGTCATATCAGCTTATGTGTCAGAGCTGCCTGTCACTTACTATTAGCAAAGCAAATTTGTCACTCTGGACTTCAGTTTTCTTGTCCCTATAATGGATATTTACCTCACAGAACTTGGAGGATAATTAAACAATTAATGTGTTATATGGCTGTTATGCTGCCTAACATACAATATACACTTCCTAAGTTTATTACTTCTCACCTCTATAATCCTTAATATCTTCATATCATCCCTGTTTTACTCTTCTCCTTTGCTACCATGCTGCTAATACTAAGTTCACTAAGTCTTATTCCTGGATTTCCTTCTTTTCATCCCGGTTGCCCTTAGTTCACTTTTAATCATCCCCTTAATGCTCCTAATACTTAAAAGTATCTGGCACCTAAATGGTTTTTTTTTTTTAAACAAGTCTTTTCCTCTTATAATCTGATGTCCAGATTAATTGTACTAAAGCATAGCCTTTCAGTGTTCTATCTTGAGAAAGTTATAATAGCTTGTTTTCTACATTATATTCTGTTTGGCTTCTAAAATTCTCTACTTCTGCCCTCATTCTCCCCATTTAGCTTATTCTCTTGTTACTTTTTTTTTTTTTTTTTTTTTTTTTTTTGGAGACAGTGTTTCCCTCTGTCGCCCAGGCTTGAGTGCAATGGCACAATCTTGGCTCACTGCAACCTCCACCTCCTGAGTTCAAGCAATTCTCCTGTGTCAGCCTCCCAAGTAGCTGGGATTTTAGGCAGGCACCACCATGCCTGGCTAATTTTTGTATTCTTAGTAGAGACGGGGTTTCACCGTATTGGTCAGGCTGGCATCGAACTCCTGACCTCAGGTGATCCACCTGCCTCAGCCTCCCAAAGTGCCGGGATTACAGGTGTGAGCCAGCCAGCAGGCTCTCCTGTTACTTTGTAACACGATCTTTACCTTTCAAAGTGGTTTATTGACTTCTATCTCGCTTTTGTCACTTTTAAGAATGCTACTCAGTTAGCTTCATTCCGGTTGTGTCTGGATTCTCAGATAGCTTCTATCTTCCCTAATTACCTGTCCTTTAAGTCTTAACTCAGTTTCTGCCTTATTCATGAATTCATCCCCAACTACTCTGACCTGCAGCATTCTTTCTGTTCTCTGAAATTTCTACAATTAACATTTAAAATCATATTATTACTAAATGCATCTCTACTAGAGTGTAAATATTATAAAACATTGCTAGACACTTAGTTTGCTCTCATAGATGGTGGATTACTAATCTATTAAGGCTTTTTAACTTGACGTTTTGGTTTGATTTTCTTTATTTAAGTTGAACACTTTACATGAAATTATAAAACTGTTGATATATTACAAAATTCCTAATATTGGATACTTCAGTAATATTTAATATTAAATCTTATATATGATTAATTAAAACTTATAATACCAATATAAAATGTATTTAAATATTATTATTACTAAGGTAATGTATACACTTTTAACATAAAAGAAACCAAGTGGTAAAATATTTCATAGTAGAGTTTACAAAATTAATCCAGTGATTCTTAAAATGTGTTCTGAGGACTCCTGGATCTTGAGACTCTTTCAAAGGGTACATGAAGTGAAAACTATTTTTATAATAATACCAAGATGTTATTTGCCTTTTTTACTGTGTTGGCATTTGCAGTGGTAGTGCAAAAAATAGAGGATAAAACTGCTGGCACCTTTAAGATGAATGAAGGTAGTAGCACCCAACTGTATTAGTAATAATTGTATTTATCCTTGTTAGGCACTTGCAGTTAAAAAAAAAAAAAAAAAAAGCAGTTTCCCTTAAAAAAAAAAAAATCCTTGATTAAAACAGAAAAATTCATTTTAACTAATCTCCATCCTTGAATAACACATCATTTTAATATTCTGTGAGAACTTGGAAGTATGCATAAAGCATTTCTGCTATATACCAAAATAGACGATAGCTCTAAGGAAGAGAACCTGTGCTTTGAGTTGTGTGTTGAACTTTGTACTTTTTTAATGGAACACCATTTTACAACTAGCAACAACAAGAAAACAATGGTTGTTCAGACTTAGGTACTTAGCCACCATTTTCTTGAAAATGAATTGAGTCTGTCAATTCAAGGAAAACTACTGCCAGTTATTTGTTGCTAATGATAAAATTTTAGCTTTCAAGTGATTATTAAAATCCGGGAAAACTTTTATTCACTACCTTCAGCTTGACAACTTCTCAACACAGACTTTTCCAATAAGATTGATCATGATAGCTTTTTATATTGTATAATGAAATGTGACATCTGGAAGATCTGCATAATCTAGTGAATCAATATTTTTCAAAAGATCATTGTATGATTTTTTAAAATTTTGTATGGGTAAAAGATGTATCCAAA